AACACAGTCGGCACTTCCCCAGCCTCAGGCCTCTAAATAAATGCGAACCGAAAGATGTCCCTGCCGATTTATCGGCCATCTGGCCGGCACCTTCACATTTTTTTATCCCAATTTTATCCTTCCCTCTCCCAATAAAATCCAGAATACTCCGAGGTTAACTTTGCTCTTAGCTACATCTCTAATTTTATTTTATTTTTTAATAAAAATAAAAAATCATTACACAGACGGATTCGCTTAAAAAATCCAAAATCAAAACCCTAGATTTCGTGGTCATTTCGGCAATTTGACGTTATGAATCGGCGATAATAGAAGCAGCAATCGGTGAAGGAGAAGAAGGAGGAGGAGAAGAGATAAGGGGGACGATGTATGGTCACAGAGAGCGAGGGCTGGGTGGGTCCAAGATGGAGGTAGGGTCGGTGGATCGGAAGCGGATCAACGAGGCGCTTGATAAGCAATTGGAGCGATCGTCGCCGTCGACTTCCAGGGCGATCAACGGGAAGGATAATAAGTCTGCACACTCCATACTCATGGGGAAGCATCCGCCTGATCATCGCGACTCTCGCTCTGCTTCTCTCGCCAAAGCCAACGCCTCCGATGGTATTGTCATTCTCTCATCTCTCTTTCCGTTTCTATTTTCCGACGTATACAAATATGTATCCGTGCTTGGATTTTGCTGTGAACTTAACGTCTGTATCTAGGGTTTGGTTTTGTAATGAAGATGTTTTGAGCTCATCCGTTGTTTGGATTATTCTGAGATTATTTTTATCAACCTGAGAAGATTAGGATATTTTATGAGTTTAAACTGTTGAGGCATTAATTTAATTTCTTTCACCAGAAAGATGGGTACTTGTGATTGTTGTTGAAGATATATTGCACCAGACTCTCCAATCTCAACATAAGTATGTCTGCTTCTGTAGATATTTTTTAGTATAACTGACGTCTATCTCTACTCATGTCTTGAAAGGTTTGTCTTATGATGGTTAATCTCATCGATTTGATGAGGTTTGGTTTGCCATACTCCATCGTTAGCTAACTGAAGAAAAAGGTAGAAACAGAAAATGGGGTTGGGCTTTGAAAGTCCATTTTCTCCCCATTTTCTAAGAAAAGAGGAGATTCTTTAAGCTATTTGTTCTTCTGTGGGTTCTAAATTTAATGGGAGGCCTTCTTCTTTCCACATGTTTTTACTTTGGATGCTTTTGGACCTACATTTGAAAGAGATAATAACAGTACAGGCTGGGATTCAAGATAACTGGGTTTATTTCCTTTCAACTTTGTTATTGGGTAATTGGTTGTCTAACAGTGTCTTTTAATAAAATGTAATGGTTTATTGTGTCTGTGCATTTTATTTAATTCACATAACCAATTTCTGTTTTATCCTGACTCTTTAGAAATCCCTCTTAAGTTTCCATGCCTATCATTCGTTACACGACACATATATTCATTCTAGTGTCATATTAGAATCCTTAGAATGATCTACTGTGGCCAAGGGTTGTGAACTGTTGTTTCTAGTGCTATTCAACAGCATATGATTTAGTTTGCCACAGCTTCTGCTGTAGTTAAATTGCTATTGCTTCCTGACTCCTGAGTAATTATTTATTTAGTTTTAATTTTCTGTGGAGTATTGATGTAAAATTTATATGCATTGACTGCAGAGGAATCTGAAACAGATAGTGAAGAGTCAGATGTTAGCGGTTCTGATGGGGATGACACATCTTGGATCTCATGGTTTTGCAACCTTCGTGGAAATGAATTCTTTTGTGAAGTTGATGATGACTACATACAAGATGATTTTAACCTCTGTGGGCTAAGCAGTCAAGTTCCTTATTACGATTATGCACTTGATTTGATTTTGGATGTTGAATCTTCTCATGGTAAGGTTACATGATTTGTGCAAGTGTGCTTCTGGATTTTTTGTTCAGTTTTTGTGACCTAGAGCAGAATTATTAGGTTATTTGATTTTGTGGCTGTTGAGAGTAACACCATCCAGTTTGTGACTCACTACATTCTTTGATAATATTTGCAATGGTTTTTCACCAGTCATATAGCAATGTTGGAAGTGATAGTTTACTGTTTGTTGCAATGACAAGTATTTATTGGCTGAAACTTTTAGGAGATGTGTTTACAGAGGAACAGAATGAACTGATTGAGTCTGCAGCAGAGATGCTTTACGGTCTGATTCATGCTCGATACATTTTGACTAGCAAGGGAATGGCTGCTATGGTGAGAGATGATTGTTCTTGGTCTTCTCTGTGCAAATTTCTGTTTACATATAACAGTCTGGGAATTGGCTAGAATAACGTTGTTGAAACTTCTACAGCTAGACAAGTACAAGAATTATGACTTTGGTAGATGCCCCAGAGTTTACTGCTGTGGACAGCCATGCCTTCCTGTTGGTCAATCAGATATTCCACGGTCAAGCACTGTAAAGATATACTGCCCTAGATGTGAAGATATTTACTACCCCCGCTCCAAATATCAAGGCAGTATCCTTTATATGGTTGAACTTGTTTTTGCTACTTTGGATGTGAAGATATTTACTCATTGCATGCATTTGGCTGGGAGAGAACATGACTACTCTCAAACTTTTCTAATCATCATTTATTAATCTGTTGAGGTTTTTTTCTGCTTATAATGAATAATGACTTGATGATTCTGTATTCTTTTATTGCATGTTGGCCAAGTCACATCTTTGATGTGTATATGCTAATTTGTTTTCATTTCAGACAAGTAGGAATACTTGCTTCTGCTTAATTACCTTAACTCTACAAAAGACATAGATGGAGCTTACTTTGGGACCACTTTTCCTCACTTGTTCCTGATGACATATGGGAACCTGAAGCCACAAAAAGCATCACAGAGTTACATTCCAAGAGTTTTTGGGTTCAAGATCCATAAGCCATGAAGTTGGGTTCGAAACTCCATTTGGGAAAAGTTATCTTGAGTATGCATTACCTAGCTCTCCATGGAAGTAATGCCTTTTGAGAGTTGAGGTATAGTTCAGTAGTCTTTCATGTTATTCTGTTCTAGGTCTTTACGTTTATTATATGTTTTGATGATTACATAAAGCATATGTGCAACCAGCAAGTATTAATTTTCTTTGTAGCTGCCTATTTCAGCTTTCCTCGTCAAACCACATTCTTTTTTGGTAGATTAACTAATTAACTATTAAATTTGCCATTTTGCTTGATCAAACATTGTCGATTTTACATCTATATTTACTCTCTATTGTTTGTTTGCACTCCCCTGATGTCACATCTATTTAAGCATTCACTTTTTAGTTAATTGATGTTGTTAACATAGCATTATGTTTATATATATATATTATTACTATTATTATTATTGTTTTACGTCAGACCTCTTCTAAGGTGATGAAACTTTCGTGATTTTGAGTTCCATTTGTTTTCACGTCCTTGTATTGTTTTTATATATTTGGTGATTATTGGGACATTTGATGTGTTTTTTAAACAATAGCTCTCTCCTTCCTCAAATCCACTTCCACTTGGCTCTTAAGATTTTGAACTCGCGGATTCTAACTTGAAGTCTCAGCCTCTTAGTAATGGAGAAACCATGTACCAAAAAAGAAGAAGTAATGGAGAAACCGTGTACCAAAAAAAAAGAAGGAATGGAGAAACCACTTTACAACGATACTCCTTGTTTTCTCTTTAAGGCCCACACTTCCTAGCATCTTACGTCCATCCATCTCTACCATCTAACCCAATTTACAGGCATCCGGAGTCTATTCTGTTGTCCAGGCCCAAGATAAAAGCTTGAGGTTGGTATGGGCGCTTTTGGGCTTATTATGGGTTTAGGACCTCTTTTGTAGACTAACAGGTAGGGCCAGACTGCTTGATGGTCGGAGTGGCGATGTAGAAGGGAAGCCCAGGTCTCAATTACATTTACACATCATATATGGTGCATGATAAATGCATAGCAAAATAAAGCAAGAAGCCTTTTTTAGGTGCCTGGCGTATGGTCCTTTTCTGGAACCAGGACCCACCTCTCCAAATGAATGTCTCGAAATAAGGTTGCCACTGGTTACTTTAATGCCCATGTTAGGCTGCTTCTGATACATACTAGTTGATAACACAACCAACTGCATATGTCATCGGGTGTGCACCTGGCCCCTCTACCATTCCTCAATAATGGCAGATAGTGCAGAAGTCTCACCTTTTTTTTTTCTCAAATCCTATCTTTGGGGTCAGATATTTTTGGGATTCTGAGGTTCTTGCTTTCTTCTCATCTAATTCTAAAACGGTAATCAACCATCTTGATAAGATCGAATAATTAATTAACATTGAATTTTGGTTTTAAGATAATGATTAGAGAAGTGAATAATGTATATAAGAATTGATTACTAATATACATGAATCTTGATGATTTGCTGTCCCATCCTCAGATGTAGACATGTATGGCATAATTTGGATGGAATGGAAATATGGAATGGACCAGACGACATGGGTTTGCGATAATTTAAGTCAAGCCGAATCCAGATGGTCCAACTAGCTAGCTTCTGTGGTGTTGAAACCTCTCCCCATCAAAGCCTAACTAAATGGTTTTATGATATTCTCGGATTTGTATTGAATTCTTCGAAAAATAGTGTTTAATTTGTTTCTTCCTGTAAAAGGGATGAGGGAACATGAGGAAGAGATGTACGGACAAACAGTCAGGAAAAGGAGACGCCAAGAAAAGCTGGATAAGAACAGCCCATTTGCCCTTTCATGGATGTGAGGCTTCATCTTCATAATAGAAAAAAAAAAAAAAAAAACCGAATTTTATGAACAAAATTTGTAGTTGGTATGAAGTTATCCGACTTCAGACAGTTCCCAACTAACCCTTTTATACCTAACTGTAAGTCAGCCGGTTTTAGATCTTGTACTATAATTCACAGTCACACTGACAAATTTCAACACACT